GTAACACGATGTTTGTCCGATCGTGGGAAGAATTCGATTAACGTACGTTTAGGCGGCTCGTCGTAACACGTGCGTCGCTATTGGTTAAGGGCGCGTGTCAGACGAAATCCTTTAGATCATTTTCTCTCTCTCTTTCTGGTGTTCCATCTCTGTCTAACGGCTTATCGATGTTTCTACGCCGTAGAATTTCTGGACTGTTCTATTCTCATCGATAATTCCAATATTAGATATATAATGATGCGATTATCAACTAATAGTTTAAATCAGAATTATTGAACAATAAATATGCGGGTAACTATAAACATGAACTATATCTGTTGTACTATTATGTATGAATAATGGACCGGCTATCACGAGGTTTCTTAATTAACAGTTGGCTTGTCCATAATCATTTTGTTCGCAGAGAAATCGATCAACAATACCAATTGCGGTGGTAACGCAAGTTGTTCGCTAAAAATCCTAATAGCATACGATGGTTTAACTGATAATTTCAGTAGTATTCAATTGTTCGATATTCGAATATTAATTCCTGTATTCGCAGCGAACTTTGTTCGAGAACGTTCTTCCTGTTCAAAATCGTACCGTTGGGTCTTAGTTTCAGCTAATTCTCGGAATTCGATACAATGACTTTTATTACCCTGTGTGACCCTTCGTCTCTAAACAGTTCTCGCATGTTGCTAACGTTCGCTGGTGAGGGTTCTCTATCCTTGCCCTTTGCACTCGTTCGAATATTTGAATTTCATGCTATTTCATACCTTCATTGCAACACTCAATTCGCACGTACGGTCGGGTTTGGGACCGACTGGCGCCTACGCGTGAAAAAGAGGAGAGTATCGGTTAAAAATCTAAAGATAAATTGATCTTTACGCTTTTGCGCAGTTAACCTGAGGAGACCCCTACAATGCGAAGCACTGGCTAACCGCGCAGCGAACGCTGTTTACGATATCTCTCCTCGGTCGAAACCGAGTTTTTCTATCTCGAATTCTATTACTACGCAGTTGAGCACGACGATAGCTTCAAGGAGGGGTTTTAACTAAGAAAAGAATTGAAAAGTACGCGAAGAATGAAAGGATAGAAAAGACAAAAGTAGAATAATTATAAGCTCAAACTTTTCCCTGTGCATTTCCCACATGAAGAAGTCTCTCACAGCCCGAAGGCTTGATGGGAAAGTACAGAGTCAAGGAGAAATTAAAGAAAGGTGCAGAAGTAATTTGCCCTCCCCACGCCCCTTACACGAGGAGACTCCTACAACCCGAAGGCTTGATAAGGGAACGTGAGGCAGACAAATTTGTAAAATTTTCCCGGACGTGACAATGGTCTCTCGTGAAATGCAGTATACATGTACATCAGCAGTGCTACCAACTTCTGATACAATCGTTACAAATACGAATGTTTTCTGCCGTATCTATAACGTTTCGAATTTATTTCTTACGACTTATTAATTACTAGGTTTACCATACCGTAGTCAAATCGTTATTAGCAGCGTCGTATATTCGGGTATTTTTAATTTTGCGCCGCCTCCGAAAACTTTGCAATGTATTTGGTATCCTATTTAACGATTAAGTAGATATTATTAATAGCTATGGAATATTGGTATAAATGAAATAGAAATTATTTGACCCTTTTTAGTGCATTTCGAAGTCGGATTTGTTTTTTGTTAAAAATTATTTAAATAATAGGATCTGATTGAAACGAAGTACATTTAACTAAAATCTCAACTTTGCGTTTGATTTAAAAAAAATGCCGGCACTTGCGCGGGGTTTGATTATTACTGTAGTAAAGAGTGAACTTTCCTCTATCAGAATCAGAAAAAAACGGCTGCCCCAACCTGCCACTGCTCAAAAAAATTGCGATTGAAATAAATTACACCCATCCTGGCCGCAGCGCACGATGGTGGAAAAGCAGTACCAGATACGATTATTATCCAGTTAACTGCATTCGACGTGTATATTCGTTATCCAAAACTTTATTTCGGTTCAATAAAAGTGTTCAATGTAACAACTTTTTATTAAATAATAGGATCTGATTGAAACGAAGTACATTCAACTAAAATCTCAACTTTGTGTTTGATTTTTAAAAAATACCACAACTTGCCACATGTTTAATTATTACTACAGGAAAGAGTGAACCTTCCTCTATCAGAATCAGAGAAAATTGGTTACCCCAACTTGCCACTGTTCAAAAAAATGGCGATTGAAATAAATTACACCCATCCTGGCCGCTGCGCACGATGGTGGAAAAGCAGTACCAGATACGATTATTATCCAGTTAACTGCATTCGATGTGTATATTCGTCATTGCTTCATTTTAATTATATATTCCGTGAGAGATTTTCAAAACTCATTCCCGCAGTTAAATATTCAATATGTCGATAGTAACTTGCCGATCCCTGCTACAGTGAATATTTCAGAAGATAAGGTACGTGATTTTCAATTGTTTACAATAACTTCACTCTCTCCATTCAGATCTTGTTCCATCCAGTGGAGAAATACTAGTATGGTGCCGTGATCGTAGTTCCCTTCAAGGTCTTTCAGTAGTATTGTTTGCGGTATTTCGTATTTGGGAGTGTATGTGAAATATTTCATTTTTTTGTTTTTTAATACTGTTAAAATTATGTTATAGTCTTCGGATGTATCGATGTATAAGTTATGGGAGCTTTCCTTTAATTTTTACACGGCTTGTTAGTATTGTGTTAATGGTTATTTGTATTATTATTGGGGGCGGGGGTTGTTAATTCTAACCTGCTCCTCTGTTGGCTGGTTTTCGTTGGGCCGTAGCTGGGATGATGGGTTTCTCGTCGGTTGGTTTTAGCTGGGCTTCTTGGTGGCTGGGGTGTCCTTTGCGGGGTTGGACTTCCTTGGGCTGTTTGTCGCTGCTGGGTCTTCCCGGTCATAAAATTTTGGGTCCATGCTGCTACCTGATTCCGAGTCTTCGCTCTTGTTGAGCCTTCTTAGCAGCTTGTTAATTTGGATTTGCTGCGCTTCGTTTCGTCGACGCATTATTTACAATAATTGTTTACAATAACTTCACTCTCTCCATTCAGATCTTGTTCCATCCAGTGGAGAAATCTTAGAAATCACATAATGCACTAAGTGTGTAAAGGAAATGTAAAAATTGAAGGTATTTCTCGTTATCGCACCATACCGTACCACGAATTTCGCCCAAAATTCTGATTTTGGGATGCTTAATCATAAGGGCTGGCATTTTTGGAGACTTTTCTGTCTCCATGTTGCCCACCGAACGCTTTCGACCACGCGCCTTCGGGGATGGCAGCCCTGCCAACCCCAAACCCCGCGCATTTTTTTGCACTTTACATTGCTTCACACATTTGCCATACCTTTGTTTCTGTTTTCTCGCCATACTGTCTGCCTGAGTCCGCACGTGCACGCGCGCGCGTGTGTGTGTATGTCCGTTTAGTCGCCTCTTACGACAGGCAGGGGATACCGTGGCCGTGTTCTAATCCCCCGAGCCACAGGGATATCTTTATCGCACAAAATACGCCGAAAATGTCGGTTTTTGATTTTTTTTAAGTACGACGCACCATACCTAAAAATCTGAAAAAAATTGGAGATAATAATTATGCTAATATCTAACTACTGTGAGAGTAAAAATATAGTCGCTCCAAAACTTCTACCCGATTAAAAAAAATCTGCATTTTTCGACATTTTGTTGAGTTTTGGATTTTTCACGCCTGGGATTTACAACCGAAAAATCTGAAAAAATTCACAATGATAAACAAGCATGTCTAAAATATTCTACAATTTTTTCAAATTTTTTGCATAATGTTAAATAAGAGAAATATGGCAAAAACGGTAATTTCTATCTTACCCTATAACAACCCTCCCGGTTGAGGAGCAAGGTTGAAACTTGGTGTACCATGGACTTTTTGGATAAACTATCGAATGGTGCAGTGCTAAGCAAAATCGGCTCAAGGGCACTTTTGACCATCTTATCCTGCTATACTCTTTGAAAACTATTTATATGAAACTTACTTATTCGTTCCTAAATTAATCTGCTATGCTGAAAGCAGATAATTCTCACTGGGTCACTGTGTCGATCCTGAACATTCGAGGAGGGAACAAATTACGGAGAACAGCTGATTTCCAGATGAGGCCATTGAACCCATTCAACCACACGGTCACTATCACCTTTTACAAAATTTCACAACGTGGTCCGAAAGGGTTCGATTCTTTCAAGTAGTTAAACATTTTTGTTCACTGTCACATTGCTATTGCACTGGACACAAATGAAAAATATGTAATATTCCGCACTTCATATCTGGTCACCGTTTGTGACACAAAACTCTTTTAGTGACTTAAAAATACTTCGATTCCGCGACTGCATTTTGCCGATTTTTAATCTACTTTGGACACTCATATTATTAGATAACAACGCAATCTCATTGAACCATGGCCAGACCGCCCTGCATTGGACCTTCGTCTTTCGAATGAGCCCTCACCCAGCCCTAAATCTTCTCATATAAGGACGAAAAGTGTATTCCCGTAAACCCCTGTTTAGGCCCATTTTTGCCGGTAATGTCACCTCGCTGCATTACCCGTGTCTACCCCCTTAAGTATTATGGTTTCTGCTTGGAAATAAATCGAGATTTTCTGATTAACTTGCTTTCATTAGCTACTACGTACAAAAAGAAAACGTGGCTTTTTCCATTACAGAACACTGGCGCTCTAGCGGATGATTAAGGAAAACAAAAGAAACTAAACTTAACATTTGAAAAACATAACGTATTGTTTAGGGATAAAATTTTCTATTTAACAGATACTTTGTTATTTATACTAATTATAAGTACCAAATTGGTATTTATGTAATAACATTGAGCGAGCATAAGGAACAACGTAACCTTCCAACTAATTAGTAATACTAACTCATTAGTATTTTATATACCTAAATCTGGTATTTTGAGAAGTTCAGTAAATACTAACAAGTTTGCAAATAATAGTATAATTAAATCAAGTCTAACCATATCTTTTGATTTATTTCAGAATACTATTCTACCAGAAGCGGTACACTTTTGGGAACGGGCTCTTATGGTTCGTGAAACGAAGGGCATTATTAGATTAAGCAGGTAATGTAATTCTTCTTTCATTAGTGATTTAATAAAATAAAAATTTGGTCATACTTGTTACGAGTCAGGGTCACGAGCAATATGAAAGACTAATAAAGGACCATTTTGCTAAAAGAACGAATTTACTGCAAAATCAGGATCTAACTTAAGGGGTTAGACAGGGTACGTGACCTCTCCGGGTCGGGACGTCGGTATTACAGCAGTTTTCTCGTTGGGCCTGGTGGAGCCACTTGCATGTTCTGTTAGGAACTTGAAAGAACCAATTCTCAGCTGTCATGCCATATGCATTTTGGAAGTGTGCGCGCAACACGATCTAGGAAGGCAATAGCGCCTCAAGTATTTTTACAAACACATTTAAACGTTCATCTCGCCAGAGGCATCACGACGGCACGACTAGAGAACGAAAGCGAAACATTGGCGCGTGTTTAGAGTCAGATGTACGATGATCATGCTATCGTTCTTTCAACCCAAATGATAGAATTGTCCCGCTCCGTTAAATTCTGAATGACCAAACGCGTGGATTTTACATAGCGCGCCATAGCACGTCTCGCTGCTGAAAAATATATGCCTACTTTGTAGAACCAAAGGAACGTGCAATCCGAAAATTTTTTTAGAAAAAGTTATTAACTTCTTTAAATAAATGTTTTATAATTGATAAAAGTATACAGGGTGCGTCATACAATTGGGACGGGTTATATCTTGAATTTGGTAAGAGATAGGAAAAAGCTGTTCATGTAAAAGTTGAATGTCTATTTTTCTATAATTTTATTTTCTTCGTGAATACAACGATGCGCTAAAAAAATGCAGATGCACTTTTTATTTAAATAGAATTGCATATTTTTTTACTCGTATCAACTCTTTGGAACATTCAGCATAAAAAACTGCTATGGTACTATTAGAACTAATAAACGGAGGGGCCTCGGCTCCCAAGATCAGAATTCAAGTTCTTTAACACAAAATCTTTTATTTCTCCCAAAAAACAACAAAAATATAGAATCGTAACTAACTCGCGATCATAACATAACTATCATAACTAAAATCGCCGTGCTCGCGTCTATATCTCCTTCTCGACCCCTCTCTACTATTCCCTCTCCTCTATTTCGCTAACGCGCTTATGTCTAACAACAGTACAATGTTTAAAAAACTAATATTTCGTGAGATATCTCATATTTTTCAAAAGTTCAACTTTTACATCAATAACTTTTTCCTATCTCTTACCAAATTTAACATATAACTCGTCCCAATTGCGTGACACACCTTATATTTTCAGAAACCTATAGTAATGTTGTTCTTCGAAACTAATAAAAAATACAGAGGAGTATTAGTCAATATTCTAAGTGAATGCAGATAATTTAAATAAATAAATATCTCACATACAATTTATGTAAACATTTGCAGAATTATTGCAAAGAGGAGGTATGTAAGTATATTCTTCTCTTGTTAAACCTCCTCTTTGAGCGAGGTTTGTTATGGGGCACTGTGAAAAATCCAGGAAAATCAATCCCAACATTCAAAATGAAAGAAGTACAGCATGACTGTTGTGCGTCTCACTCAGCGTTCGAGTGCTGTTGCCTTTTCCGCTTGCCCTCGCAGACACAGTTTGAATCACGTTACCAAGCTAACACCTGATTTTGGCTACGATTCCAAATCGGTAGCCTGTTTAATTAGACGCTACCTTATAACTACTAGCTGAACTAAATTTATGGAATTTGTTGTTTATTAACTATCTAAATTCGATCAATCGTTTTTTTTCGGTTTATGCTTATTAGCTAACCAATAAAAACGCAAAACCACCTTACAGTATTCTACAAATACTGGTCGTTCCACTAAAAAGTATGAAATAAAATAATTTTTAACAAAAAATACAACCGACTTCGAGATACGCTAAAAAGTATAAAATAATTTCTATTTCATTTATACCAAATACTGCACAGCTGTTAATACATTTCAACTTTTCGAAGGCGGCGCAAAATTAAAAATACCCGAATAAAAGATGCTGCCAATAACGATTTGATTGCGGTATGACAAACTTGGTATTTAATAAGTCGTTAGAGAAAATACGGAACATTGTAGATGCGGCTGAAAACATTTGTAATTGTAACGATCGTATCAGAAGTTGGCACTACTTCTAATGTGCTGTGCAGAGATAGAAAGAATATTAGCGGAAGGAATGCGGGTACAATTGGTCGCAGCCGGTAAGTCACACCTCAGGCACACGCATTTTAGATCATCGCGTGTTATTGGCCGATGCGGACACAACTAATCACGTCGCCTGACAAAGAAGGAAAATGACACTTTGTGACAAAGTGAGATGTTGCGAAGTCAGCGTTGCGATGAATTTTAAACGCGAGGATCAAATGTGGGGATAGGGCGGATCGTGCGAAGTGCTCCCTTTTCCCATATGCCGTCCCGCTAATATTCTTTCCATCTCTACACAGTGCACGTAATTAATCCGCACTGGATATGTTGAGTCCCATTGAATATTGTTTACTCGAAATTATCAAATGGGTCATTTGTCATAGGTTGCCAACGCCTGAACTAGAATCTTCCTAGTAGAAGAAAAGTTTTAATTTTGCGCCGCCTCCGAAAAGGTTCAAATGTATTTAGTATACTATTTAACGATTAAATAGATTCTATTAATAGCTGTGGAATATTGGTATAAATGAAATATAAATTATTTTACACATTTCAGCGCATCTCGAAGTCGGTTGTACTTTTTGTTAAAAATTATTTTATTAGGAAGGGATATACTTTACTTTTCAACAGATTTTACTTTTTTATCTTATATACGTGTATAGTTATTAAGTTATTGTGTTCCGATGCTCATTTTGATCTCATTACATTTGATAGAGATTTGTAGTTACAGTCCAAAAACATTTGGTTCTGGGTTTGTCCAGTTTCAAGTTTTATAGCAGATTTAAGTTGAAATAGCGCTCGCAGTGTTTTATTTACTTTAAGGGTGAATTTTGTTCCTCGAATACCCAGCTAGGCAAAATTGGTTCAAAGTGTCAACAAATGGATAGTTCAACCTTTAAAGTTATATACATTTTTAACCGACTTCGAAAAGGAGGAGGTTACTCAATTCAATCAGTATATATTATTTTCTGTGTGTGTTCTCCGATTACTCCAAGACGGATGGATCAATCGGAACGAAACCTTCTGCATCTTGTAGAGTATGTCTTCCGATTGGCCCCGTTAAAAAAACATTTTGCATTTTTTCATTCCGAACGATTTTTATTACAAAAAACAGGAAGTGTCTAATCTCAATATAGGATGATTTCAATGACCCTTTAATATGGTATGTTGTCGGGGGCATGATTCTGAACAACTTTTTCATTATGCATAATTAACGGAAAGATTTAGTTGTCGAGATATTCGTGAAAAACTATTGTTATTTTCTCTGTGTTCGCCGATTACTTCGAGATAGATGGACCAATCGGAACGAAACCTTTTGCATCTTGTAGAGTATGTCTTCCGATTGGTCCCTTTAAAAAAGCATTTTGCACTTTTTCATTCCGAACGATTTTTATTGCAAAAAAGTAATTTTTAACAAAACATACAACCGACTTCAAAATGCGCTGGAAAGTATGAAATGATTTCTATTTCATTTATACAAATATCCAACAGCTATTAATAAAACCGATTTACTCGTTAAATAATATACTGAAATACATTTCAACCTTTTCAGAGGCCGCGCAACATTAAAAACTTTTCTTTTACTCGGAAGATCGGAGACTTTCTGTTTAGGGATTGGAAACGTATGACACGCCGCGCCGGTTACCGAATGACCAATTTGATAATTTCAAGTATCAACCCATTGTGGATTAACTACATTTACAGCAAAAGTGCTGCCAACTTCTAATACAATCGTTACAATTACAATTGGTTTCAGCCGTACTTATAACGTTCCGCATTTTTTATTTCTATTGTAAATGCGTTTATTTTATTATAAATGCGTTACATGGGTTCTGCAGCTTAAAGCGCTTAAGCGCACCTTGACCTACTTTGCGGGTAATATATGGTGTAGGATGGGAGTGCAGTGATCTGAGTACACGTGTATAGGTACACAAACATATGTATATTCTGGTTCTCTTATTACATACTCTTCGTTGACTTCAGGTGTTGCTCGTATATTCTCGTATCACACTCGTCGGTCACTCACACTTAAAAGGTCTTGCTTTTCGTTTACGTCGCGGATCGGATACGACATTAGACTCACAGCGCGTGGCTACGACTCGACCTTGGAAGATGCAAGCGGTTGGTGCTGGTCTTGCACAGCACACGGGTGCACTCCTGGAGCTTGTCCGATTATGGGCCTGGTATCTCAGACCTCGGCGATATACTCGTGTTGAACCTTCGGCCGAGCACGTCGTTAATGATCTTCCTGGTTTCGAGGAGCCTAATACGTGGGTCTACTGCGGGCCGCGATCGGACAGCGCTTCGCCGCTGCTTCACGTAATCAAGGAAACTAAGAACTGCCGGTCTACTTCGTGTCGATAATTTATATTCCCCGAAAGGGGTCACGCCCGTGGCTTGCAAAAACCTGCCAGCAAAGGGTTTTCGACATCGCGTTCCGCGAGTTCCTTGACTTCGTGTCGCAGGCGTTGCTGGGCGCGAAAACGCTGATGCTTAACGGTTTCCAGAGCGAGACCTCTTTGGAATGTCGAAAAGCGAAAATATGATCGATGATCGGGGATGTAACAGTATATTCGGGTATTTTTAATTTTGTGCCGCCTCCGAAGAGGTTGAAATGTGTATAGTATACTATTTAACGATTAAATAGATTTTATTAATACAGAGGTGCCCAGTTCGGCGTCTGCATTTTTGCCCACATAAGAGTCCGTCACTATCCCCACCAGTTCTTGGAAACAGAAGTTCCACACATGTCGAAGTTTTCACGCATGTGGAATCGCGGCCTGTAACCGTACATTCGTACGTTACATAGTATAGTACAAAGTAGCATAGATTTTTCATGGGAAATCGGAACTATAGCGATGGTA